TCTGAATCCAAGCTGAGGTCTTCCATTCCCACCAGGAGAGTTAATACTAGTCCATATGCTCTCCTACCCAAGAACTTAGCACTCCATTTTCTTCCCTCCTTGGCTAGGCAAAACGTCAGACAAGTGAGGGGAGGTACGGACTGCTGGTTTTGGAGGATGTGCCGTAACATGACCTAAGAATGCCCACTATCAAATTTCACAGTGATGCCCTCTCTAGGAAGCAAGCTTCCTCCACTTCCTTTCCCCCACGCAACAGCCAGATCCTTTTGATGCAAGAAAAGCCAACTTATAAACAATACTACCTGTGAAGAATACCATAGGGAAGAGATCTCAGGTCCAGGATGTGGGGTTGGTTGATGCCAGCAGCTTGCCAAGGCGGTGGGCACATTAGCTGCGCCTCTCCTGAGGCAGCCCTATTGATCTGTGCTCAGGGACATTGACCTGCAATCACTCGCCACCCCAATGGTGCTGTATTTTATTGTACCTTTCATCAGGAGGCCCCTCTGCCCTAGCCCTCTGGGGGAGCACTTTCCCATGGGAAGGACCAAACACCTAACTGGATGGCTGTCACAGGTATGATAGCCTTTCTCCCCATTTCTTTCTTGGGGATCCCCCTTTGAGGGGGGTTACTTGTATCCACGTGATTGGGAAGACAATACAGGCAGTTTGGCCTTGAACTACGGAATTGCTCCCCCAAAGGGGTTAAGATAGATAAACCCCCCTCTCCTCGTGACTCTGTGCACCCAGAAACTTCCTTCTGATTCATGCTCTCCGCCCTCATTTAGAACTGCCCAGCATCTGTACCGAAGATAGTTCGGTTTCCTCTTAAAGTTCCTCCTTTATCTGATGACGGTTGGTGAAACGGATCTGGGATAAATGAAGTTGTAATTTCACTGTTCCCCTTCGCCTTCCTACCCACACCTCCCACAGCCCCGGAAAGAAACATCTGATATAAAGCATGAGCAGCGATAGGGCCAATGGATTTGGAGCCAGAGTTGTTGGTCAAGGTCCATTCCTAGCCACATCACCACTCTCTTATCCTGAGCAAAATTTAACCTCAGGGTTTTTTCGGGGTGGGGGGTTTACTTGTAAGATGGGGATAATTATAAGAATGCCTATCTCTGGATACTGAAAGGATCAAATACAAGAATATTCTTCAAAGCGAGAGTGTTATTTTGGGCAGTGGTTTTGGCTTCATCTGCTTGGTTCTCACTCATAAATCACTTCCGGGGACAGTGTAGAAACCAGAAGAAAAGAACGTGTGGCTTCCACTGGGGGGTCTCAACTGCTGGGCCCACGAGAGAAGCTGAGTTGGGCCTGGATATGGTTTTCAAAATCATTCCTGGGCTTGGCAGTGCTGACCAGCCACACAGAAGCATCATCAGACCCCAGTCCCAATCCTTTCCTTCCTTATTATGATCACCTTCAGAAATTAGGCATACCTGCCCACACATTTCCTGCCTGAAGGTGGGACAGCTTCTGGGCATAGCCCCCAGAACCAGCTGCTGCCTTTTCATAGGGGCTTTTGCAGCCCTGCTTCTCTGCCCTTTCGGCTCAGGAAACAAGAGCCAAGTGCAAAGTTGGCTTTTATATCCTTAGACATTAAAACCGGCCCGAGTGGCTTCCTCCAAATCCTCGCTGCCTCCGTATGTCAACACACAGGACTTGCAGCAGTGCCTAGTTGGACCACCTGGGAAGCTTGGAAAGCTCTTGATCCCCAGACCACATCCCGGACCAAGCACATCAGAGTCTCTGGGGATGGGGACCAGGCCTCACCATTTTAAAGCTCCCCAGGAAATTCCAGGGGTGCCTGGGTGGCTCAGTGGGTTAAAGTCTCTGCCTTCGGCTCAGGTCATGATCTCAGGGTCCTGGGATCGAGCCCCGCATTGGGCTCTCTGCTCAGCAGGGAGCCTGCTTCCCCCTCTCTCTCTGCCTACATGTGATCTCTCTCTCTTTCTTTGTCAAATAAATAAATAAAATCTTTTTAAAAAAGAAAATTCCAGCCTGCAGGGATCTTGTTAAATTGAAGATTTGAATTTAGATCAGAGGAGGGGCCTAAGATTCTGCACCGTTAGCAAGCTCCCAAGAGGAACAGATGCCACCGTCCTGGGACCCCCACTTTTAGTCGTGAGGTTCCTGGGGATCCTGTGAGCTCCCTTCTCTACCCTGCCCTGCGGAGTTTGCTCAACACCAGAGCCACACCTACTGTGGGAAGTGGGATTGAAAGATGGCCCAGTTCACCCCTCAGGAGACTTCAGCCCTTTTCCTGGCTGTCTTAGGACCTGCCTTCCCTCTTCCAGGGAGCTCTGCAGACCACCAGGTGGCCTCAGAGTCCTCCGGCAACCCTTAGGGTAACGGAGAGACACTGAGCAGTGTGGTAAGTCTCGTTCAAGGCTCTCTGAAGCCGGTGGCCTGTTTCCCTACTGAGACCTCCACCCACACCTTCACGAATAGCCTCCATCCACTGACTGATGACATCCCCCAAAAGTCCACGTGAGGATGGCCGAAATGCATCATTGTGACTTTGCAAACCTTCACTTCTGTGTGGCAGACACCCGGCCTCATCCAGATGTCTTCAGAAAGAAAGCCATTCTGGGTAGCAAACGGCTGGTGTAAAATTCATATTTCGTCGTCCCCCTTCCCATACTTGGTGGCTTTCAAAAGAGTATTTGATTGCCCCTTTTCCTCTCTCATGAATGTGGCAGTGGTGGTCACACATAGGAATCCAGCATGTAGGCAGCTGGGATTTTGTGAGGCTGAACGTGGCTGATTTTAACATTAACATTTATGGTCTTCAAACAGGTTCTCCCAAAGGTGGCACCACCCTTTCTGGACAGAGAGCTGGCCTGTTCCCCTCACCTCGCTTTCATACCCTGCGGGTCTCTGCGCCTGGAGGGGCAGTACCAGGGAACGACCAGCAGGGGGCAATGCCAGCCCACAGTTGGAGCTGACTCACAGGGCCCCAACCCCACAGCCTCTTCCTCAGAAAGCCGCTGGGCTTGCTCCTCAGATCCCAACACTGAGCTGAGGTGCTAGCCCTGCTGATTGTAGGGGTGACCCCAGCATCCCATTTGGATCCGAGTGATAGCCAAGGCCGCCCCAAGAGCTTCCTTGTTGGCATCTGCCTGCAGTTTTCTCCACATCCTGATCTCATTTGTAAATTAGAGCCCCCATCCACCAGAGGGTGGGCCTGGGCTGCATTTACAAGGGCTCCTGGCAGTTGGGGACCAAGGGAAAAATAGAAGTCATTCAAGGGGGATCAGCCTCTGTTTCCCTCAGATTTGGGACCAACTCTTTTACAAGACAACTAGAAGTATATCCTGAAAGCTTTAAAAATTTCTTTACCTCAGCCTCACCCACGCCCCCCTCTCTACCAACAGCTTACCCGTAGGGTCCCCAAGGCTCCCAACCCTGCCGAATGCGAGTCTCCACACCTGATCACTGAACCCCTTGGCACCACCGCTCGGGGTTCACGCCCTCATACTTGAAATACCTTCTCAGCCCCAGATGTTCTAGGAGATCCTTTGGCGGGCAACCAGAGTACCTTCCCTCTTTCAGACTCCAATAAGAGTTCCATGTAAGATTTGATTTGGAAAAGGGGACCCTCACCTCAAAAAGCATTTTGAAGGGTTTGAAGAAAGGGTCTGGGGAAAATCCTCAAGCCTCCCAACCCTCTACCCCCGATAATCTGCTATGATCCCTCCTCCACCTCAGTAGTCCTATGTAAATATCATTTATGACCATGAACTCTCAACTGCGATCACTATAAAGAAAGAAGCTACCGGGATATGAGCATACCCTGCACACCCTAGAAAGAAGGGATATAAGAAATCAACGCATGTGTGTGAATGTACATTCACACGTACCCATACACGCACATACCCACACTGGAAAGCAGGAACGACGACTCTCAGTGGATCAGAAAAATTTCTGAGTGAAAACAGATGAATTAAACCTCCAGCCCAGGAAATCGCTGAAGGTCCTGTCCCCAAAAGTGGGCGCAGTACCCAGGGTGTTTCACGCCCACAAGGAGGGGCAAGTGTGGGAAAGCCCAGGGGTGATCGCTGGGGTACTGGGGTACCTGGGGTACCTGGGCAGGTGCAGGTAGACCAGCCGACCCTCAGCCACCACACTGGCCAGACCACAGGCACAAGTGTGTGCCCCCACGTGGGAAAGTCAGTGGCAGATCTGGAGAGAAGGCTGGCAATGTCCACAAGCCTGGTGCCCAGCAGTCAGCTATTCTCTAACGGGGACTCTCACCCCACACTCAAAAACCACCAAGCACTTGAGGAAAGCAGACTTTACAGAAGGAAAGTGTTTGCATGTGTCAAAACATGCACAGCTGGGGGCGCCTGGGTGGCTCAGTCGTTGAGCTTCTGCCTTCGCCTGAGGTCATGATCCCACGGTCTTGGGATCAAGTCCAGCATCGGGATCCTTGCTCAGCAGGGAGCCTGCTTCTCCCTCTGCCTGCCGCTCCCCCTACTTATGCTCTCTTTCTCTCTCTCCAGCAAATAAATAAAATCTTTAAAAAAGCAAAAAACTACCAGTCAAGGCAAGGGGTCTAGAGGAGAGACCTCACATAGGAGGGGGCACAACCGCCACCCAGGAAAGGGTCCCAGCTCCTGACCATCACTGCACACATCACGCCATGCCCGACTGAGGGGACCAGGCCACCACAAAATGGAGCCCCTTCGAGGACGCTTCCACCCCCAAATCCCACGTGGAAAAGCCCTTAGCTGCCTGCCCACTGCCAAAATTACTGTTTGCTAGATCATTTTATATGCCCCCTCTTATCCTTCTAATGTATTTCACTGTATTTTACTTTGGCAGGGGAGAGACCTTTAAATCAGTCTCCTTGCCTATTTTCACAGACCCTCGGAGGTAAAACTGCTAGAAAGGAAATCATGGAGAAGCTCAGCGTCTTTGAAACTCAACCCCACACAAGTCACTGTCCTAAGAGCCAGAGGTGGTAGGAATAGAACTGTCCCCAATTCTTCATGTTCAAGGGAATTGCCCCTGCTTTATTGACCCCCAACTTGAGAGGACAGTGACACCTAAACTCATCCAAACTTAGGGAGGTTCAGGGGAACCACAGCCACCTCGGGCAGCCCTTTTCCCAAACTTCTGGGTCCAGGACAGCTGAGGAGAGCCTGGGGATGCTAACTATGGTTGGGTGGCAGGAGCCGTCCTCAGAAAGCGGTGTTCTCTGCTTGGCCCCGGGGGCCAAAGAGCTTCTCAGCAACGACCTTGCCATCATACTTGGGCAGTGTGCCCCCAAAATCAGCGGGCAGGATGTCCTCATCGATCTCCTGGAAGAAGCCAGAGAGGTCATCTCCGTGGACATAGACCTGCAGGGAAGTCGGGGAGACAGAGCTGAGTGAGGGGTGCCCTCAGGATGGGGGACAGAAGGGAAGAAAGGGACAGGAGGAGAAAGGCACAGCATGCCTCGTGTGCCTGATGGTGTCAGTCTCTACAGTCCTCCCTGTCGTGCCGTCACTCAGCTCAGGACCACGGCACAGAGTCTGAGGAGGGCTCAGGTGGGGTCCGCTCCCCATCCCAGCCTCATCCTCCTTGTCTCAGGAGCGCCCTCCCTGTGTGGCCACGCACTTACCCGTTGGAGCAGCTTGGTTTTCAGAAAAGGCTTGACCATGTTGTAGGTCGTGGTGAAGTACCACGGCTGGTGAATGAAGTGGATGGCTTTGAACCGGGCCGGGAAGGAATCCTGCAGTGACAGAGAGGTCCCCAGCCCATGGCCCCGGTGACGTCGGAGGCTCCCACTCACTCCCCCACTGCCTCCCACTGGCTCGAGGACAGACTTGTCTCATCACATGGTTGATCACATAGCTCACTAAAGTTTCCATCCTTGGGCCAGTAATGGGGAGGGAGCCCCAGAGGCCACGCAGCCCAACCCTCTCCCTGCTGGTGTGCAACCCCTTGCCATTAGGTGAAGTGAGGAAATGACATGGTAGCCTTGCTTGGTGTTTAGGTGACCGAGCTTTTCCAAACCCACTTGCGTACTGAGTGGACTGAAAACTATTACAGACCCCAGGGACTCTGCTATCATACCTCACTGTCCTTCAACATCCGCCCCCCACCATGACCCCCATCTCCCACCCCTCCTTTCCCAGATAAACATAAAGCAGACTTCAGAAGGACTTCTGAACATGTCAGTATATACAGGAGTGAGCTGTCAGGGACATTAGCGATCATCCCTTCCTGGGGACAAAGTCACATTCAAAGAGAAGCAGTGTGACACGTCTGGACAGAGAAGGGGATCCCAGGTCCGAAGGTATAGGTTCAAGTCTGGCCTCTGCCACTTTAGAGTTTTAGGATCTTGAGAGGTTACTCAAGTCTCTGAGCCTCGGTTTCAAGGTTTATAAAATGAAGTAGAAGGGAGGAAGGGTCTGCTCTCAAGGCATTCAGGAATGAATGTTGATCACCAAGCCAGCCTTTGTGGTCGTCATTTCTCAAGATGGCGCTAGGAGGTCTTCTTCTCGGGTGCTGGCCGGCGCCCTTAAGTGGGGCACCTGGGCCCAGCTTCCCGGCCTCCTCCCCTGTGCGAGGCTCCTGCAAGACAGAGGGCGGAGGCCTCACCTGGAGCATGTCCACCATCTTCCTGAGATCAGAAGCCCGAAGTCCGGCAGCCTGCTGCATGGTAAAGCCCTTGAAGTTCTCGATGATGCAGAAACCATTAATCTGAGTTTCCTCGTTCTCTAGTAGCTTCTCCAGGATGAAACAATATGCCTGCAAGATCTTGGACACAGAGTGAACGGGCCATAAGACCCAACGTGCAAAGATAATTAAGGCTTAAGGTCCTGAGGGGAGAGCTAACAAGTACATCCTTTACTGGAGAAAATTTGTCACAGGCTTTAAAAAATGGCCCATTCCACATCTGTGGGTGTGTCTCAAGAAAATAACCTTGAATGTCATATCCATGGTTAGACTGGAAACAACCTAAATGCCCAACAATAAGGGACTGATGAAATGGTACATTCATGCCATGGAATACTCTGGAACAGTTAAAATTATAGATATATAACTTTATATATTATTATTTTTATATATAAAAATATATAATATACGTATCATTATATAAAATCTATATAATGATACAGGAAAATATTCAATCATGATATATTATTGTAGTGTATGATTTTTATAAGAAAAAATATGTGTATGTGTGCATGTGTGTGCACGTTTCTAGAAAAAGTGGATTGGAAGGATATGAAATGATAGAAATCTCTGAGTGGTAGAATGGTGTATGATTTTTAAATTTATGATATTTTTGCATTTTCTAATAAGTAGATATCACTTACATAATAAGAAAAAATATTTTTAAATAGTCTTTTTTTAAAGATTTTATTTTGGGGGATGGCTCAGTCAATTAAGCATCTGACTCTTGATTTCAGCTCAGGTCCTGACCTCAGGGATATGAGTTCAAGCCCCACACTGAAGTCATAAATAAAACAAGATTTAATTTTTTAAAAATTTTATTTATTTATTTGAGAAAGAGAAGAATGAGCAAGAGGAAGAGAGAATCTAAAGCAGGCTTCACAATGAGTGCAGAGTCTGATGCAGGGCTCCATCCCATGACCCTGAGATCATGACCTGAGATAAAATCGGGGCAGAGGCTTAGCCGACTGAGCCACCCAGGTCCCCCTAAAGATTTTATTTTTAAGTAATGTTTATACCCAATGTATTCACAACCCCATGATCAAGAGATGCATACTCTGCCGACTGAGCCAGCCAGTACCCCAAGAAAAAATATTTTTAAATCTCTTCCACAAACACACACATGCACACACACACACACACACACACACACACACACACACACCTTGGTCCTAAAGCCAGTAGCAAGAAAATCTTTAAAAAAAAAAAAAATCAGGGCCATAAGTAGAAATGCAAAAGAAAAGCTGTCTTTTCTATTTACAATAATATGATAGCACTCTTGGAAAACCCAAGAGACTCAATTATAAAACTACCATAAATTTAAAAATTCAGGATATAAAATTAATATACAAAAACAATAATTTCCATATATACCAACAATAACCAATCAGAGGATATAATGGCAGAGAAAACCCCATTTAAAGAAACACTTAAGACAAACTTAAGGAAAAAGGTGCCTAATGTTTGTGAGGAGAACTTTTAAAGGCTCTAAAAATTTCAAAAGTAGGGGACACCTGGCTGGCTTAGTGGGTAGAGCCTGTGACTCTTGATCTTGGGGTCGTGAGTTTGAGCCCCACGTTGGGTACAGACATTACTTAAATTAATTAAAATAATAGAAATAGAAAAGAATAGAAAAATAATAGAAATAGAAAAGTTCCAAAGTAGGCACGTTAAAGGGACAGCACCCCTCATTCGCGGATAGTATAGCAGGCTATGGTTGTTGGCTGTTGCATTCAGAAGGATTCTAATTTTCCCCAAGTTTGTTCCCAATAAAAATACATTTCTCCTGGAGCTGGACAAGTTAATTCTAAACTCTCTAGGAAAAAGTAGACATAGAAGAATAGCTAGAAAAGCTCTGAAGAAGAAGATTCACAACGACAGAACTAACCCTAACATATTAAACATTCTACACAATCTGTAATTAAAACATTGTGGTATTGGAGCATGAATAGAAAGAAACTGTTGGCCCAGACTACAAGTCCAGAAATAGACCCAAATATAGATGAGAATATAGGCTACGATAAAGATGGCATCTCAAGTTACCGGGGAAAAAAGACGGACTTCTCAATATATGATGCTGGGACAATGAGATAACATCTTCTTAAGTGAGTCTGCAGTTTTTTTTAAAGGCTTGGAGGGACATGTCAATGTTCTCCCAAGACAAACCCTAGTTCCCCCCACTTAGTGTAGGTCTCTTACGGGCTTGACAAGCAAAGTCACACACGCATATGTAAATGCAGAGACCAAAAACACTAATTCAAAGGGACACATGAACTTGTATGTTTATTGAAGCATTATCTACAATAGCCGAACTACGGAAGCAGCTCAAGTGTCCATCGATGGACAAATGAATGAAGACGGGGTATATACGTACAGTGGACCATCACTCAGCCATAGAAAGGAATGAAATCTTGCCATTTGCAATGACATGGAAAGAGCTAGAGAGTGTGATGCTAAGTGAAATAAGTCCATCAGGGAAAGACAAACACCATATGATTTCACTCTTATGTGGAACTTAAGAAACACACAAATAAAAGTGGAAAAAAGACAAAGAGGCAAACCACAAAACAGACTCTTAACTATAGAGCACAAACTGACGGTCATCAGGGGGGGGGGTGGGGGGACGGGTAAATAGGTGATGGGAATTACCGAGTACCTTTATCATGAAGAAAAAAATAAAATCATTTAAAAAAATAAAAAAGAATATTCTTCAACTCATGGTTAAGTAAATATAGCAGAGAACTCAGGGTGCTTAATAGGTTGAAACTGAGGTTTTCTAGAATCTCTCCCAACCTGCCATGCATTAATCCCCGTGCTCTGTGTCATTTCAGCTTTCAGCACTTGGCAAGGGTGACCCACAGCTGTCATTTCCACTTGGTAGGGGGGCCCGGGGGCAGCTGCCATGTATGGGCCCGCGGGCCCTGCCTGAGAGTTCTCCCCTGCCCGGGAAGGTGGTCCCCCACTGACCTCGTCGAAGGTGATTTCTTCGGCGTCCCAGTTCTCGATGTTGAAGAGCATGACCACGCGGCCATACTTGTCCCGAGTGGAGAGGACACCAGGGTAGCCGGCCTCCACGGTGCAGCGGACGGCCTCCGGGGACAGGCTGTCGAAGAGCTCGGGGTACTGCAGCCGGAAGTTCACGTAGCCTGGAGGAGGGAGAGCAGAGGAGCCCCTCAGGGAGCCAGCCCCTCAGGGAGGGGCTCACAGGAAAATTCCAGAGACCCGGACGCGTCCTGTGTGTGATCGAGCAGGACATGCAACCTTTCCGAGCGCCTTGTCTCCTCTTCAAAAACACGGAAGAGACTACTGGCCTATCTCACCAGATTGCTGCAGGAATCAAAGGAGATTCTAGGTATGAGTTTGTAAACTGTGCAAACATGCAGTGTAATCCGGAATCTGAGGATGATTATCATTATTTTTCTCTTGCCACAGGCAGAGGTATAGGCTTTCCTGTTGGGCACAAGGTTAGCTGAGTAGAAAAGACCCCAAGATCAAGCCACAACCCCACGCAGAACCCAAAGGCCCTTCCCGATTCCAAACCTCACCTTTCCCTGTCCTCAACAAGTCCCCGCGTCTCTCGACCACCCAGCCCTACAGGGACCAGGCCCCGGGAGAGGGGCTCAGGGAGCGTTTGCCTCGGGAATGCCACTGACCTCCTCACTATTCCTACCACCCTCCAGGTAAAACCCCACCACCTTGCTGTGCCCTCTGCCCTATTGCTATATCTCATCCCCTTTGCATTTTTCTTCAGAAGTTCCCTTTGCCCAGGAGCCTTCCTGGCCATGTTACACGTGTCTCCTTTATTTTTCCTCATTATCGTTTCTTACTCCCGAACAGTCTAGGGAGCTTTATTTCTCTGGCTTATTGTTTCCGCCTTTAGCTTATGAAGTCCGTGAAGGCAGCTCCCGTCTGCTTGGTTCTCTGCTGCATCCTTTGCCCTGAAAGAGTGGTTGGGGGACGCCTGGGTGGCTCAGTGGGTTAAGCTTCTGCCTTCAGCTCAGGTCATGGTCTCATGGTCTCAGGGTCTCAGGGTCTTGGAATCGAGCCCAGCATCCGACTCTCTGCTCAGCGGGGAGCCTGTTTCCCTTCCTCCCTCTCTGCCTACTTGTGATCTCTGTCTGTCAAACAAATAAATAAAATCTTAAAAAAAAAATAAAAGAGTGGTTGGCACAGTGTGGCTGTGAATTCACTCTTGGGGAAGGAAGGAAGAAGTAAGAGAAGGAGAATGCCTTAGCTTGCGGAGGGCCTGCTCGGACACCCCTTTCTTTCCCCAGGGCACCAAGGATTGGATTTCCTTAGGAAATCTGTCCTCAGGCAGCCAGCAGGCCTGGGCAGGTCTGTCCTCAGGGCTCCTTCCCGTGGCTGGCATCATCTCCGGTCCCATTCTGTATGAGGCTTAGGTACCTGCAAGGCAAGGGGCCACACACCGGCCTTTCCTGCCTCACAGGGCTGGGGTTGGGGGAGGGGAAGGCGCTCCAGGACCGGGAGAGAGGAGAGGGGAGCCAGACCTCTAGGAATGTGGAGGCTGCTGAGTTCACACCCCATTTTCCGAGTGAGGATAAGGAGGCTCAGGGAGAGTGGTTCTCACAGGGCAGGGAACGCGTGGGGCATGGAGGGGACAGTCTCCTCCGTGCTTGGGTGAGAACCAACACCAGCGTCACCGCCTCCCCGCCTCTGAGCCTGGGCTTCGGGAGGCGGAGGCGGTACCTCCAGCGCGGGTCTCACCTCTGAGCAGCTCGTAGGCGCGCCCCACGTCGAACTTCCGCGCGCGGATAAAGCGCAAGAAGAAGGCGCTGTCCCTTCCCTGCACCCTCTCGGCCACCGCCCGGGCTAGCTCCTGCCCAGACGCCGCCTCGGCCTGCACCAGCTCCTGCAGCTCTCGCACCACCTCCTCTCGGGTCTCCTCCCTCTCGTTTAGCTCGTCCTTGGCCTGGAACAGGGTCGGGTGGAGGCAGCAAGTCACAGACGGGCGCGCGCGTGCGGAGCAGGACGCCCGAGCCGGGAGGCTCCTGCCAGGGCCAGCGCGGCCCACGGGCAGAGGGCTTGCCACAGGGGCCACCGCTCCTCTGCCCCCATGAGCACCACACGCACGGGCATCGCCTGAGACCGCCAGCTAATTTCGCGGCAGAACATGGAGTCAAAGTGCCCATCCTGGGTTTGTTGGCAGGAGACCGCCAAAGGTGTCCGCCCTTAGGGAGCACTGCGCTACGGCCTGGAAATAGTGAAGGCCGCCACCCATCACCGTAAGGTGGGGATTCATTCATACCCCATTCTCAGGATGAGCAGACTGAGGCCCCTAGCGGCGAAGGGGACACAGGCAGGAAGGGGTGGAGCTGGGGCTCACACTCAAAGGGAGACTTTCAGTCACTTCCTCCTGCAGCCTCCCAGGCTTGAGTCTGATCTTTCCCAAACCAAAGATACCCTGAAGAGGGCAGCCTGTCCCCTGCCCCATATTCCTCCCTTTGGCTGGGTCTGGAAAACTCTTCTGAATGGCAGGTCTCTCCGCGGACAGCAGGAGTGAGGGGAAGGCAAAGGAGGGGGACTCAGGTCTGGGGGAACTCGCAGCACCTTTGCCTTGGTAGCAGAGATGGAAGCTAGCAGCCCAGGCTCGGCTCAGCCCTAAGACAGCTCTGCCACTTTCCTCAGAGCACAGTCTGATCCTCTCTGAGCTGGTCCAACAGTCTTCTTTCAGAGGTACAAAAGGCAAGACCCAGAGAGGGAAAGCAACTTGCTCAAGGTCACAAAGCAAGTTGAAAGTTAGGTCTGATTCTACAACTCAGGCTTCTTGCCTATGTAGTGGGGGCGGCAGTTGGATTCCTGTTTCCCTGGGCCACTTGCAAACCAATGTTCCTCATGTCTGAGTCTAGGATGAGCTCTCATGCAAAGGTCCTAGGTCCTGGCACTGATATCAAGGGACTCTGTTGGTGCTATAATCTTGGATTAGGCTGGCCTCGATGTCTGGTCAGCCCAATTGCTGCCATCGCCCCAACCTCCAGGATGGCCCCTAGAACAGGCCAGTCCATTAGCTCCAGGATAGCCTGGAGAGCTGGGGCTGGACCCGTCCTACAGGAGAGAGGATGTTGTCAACATGCCCCTGCTTTTAGCCCCCCCCAGCCCACCCTTCCCGGCACCCTGGTCTCCTCACCTTCTGTAAGGTGTGGCGGGGAAGCTGGCTGCATGGGCCAAAGACAGGTCCATGGTCCTTGGTTGTAAGCCGCTCCAGCTGGGCACGGAGCTCCTGTTCCTCTTCAGGGACCACACGGAATGTGCCCACCTAGACAGGGAGAAGTCAGGAAAAAGCAGGGAGAGTCCCCCGTCAGCCAGAGCAAGACAGTGCAAATGAGCCTGCCCAGACCCTAAACTAGTACTTTGGTCCAAGGTCACTGTTAGCCCTTCTCCCTTTGGGTGGGGTCACGGGTGGGGTTGTATGGGTGAGTGCCCATAAGGGTCCCGAGCAGACCAAACAACAGAAACGGGGAGGGAGGGAGGGAGGGAGGGCGGAGAGATGGAGGGGAGACCAGAGCACAGGGGTACTCACGTTCTCTGACATGCTGCCTCAGAAGACTCAGAGTCCTCAGAAAAATAAGCGTCTCGCTTCTGTCCTGGTCTCTCCAGGCAGCCTCCTCCCTAGGACAGGAAGTCAAGGGGGCAGTAGTCTAGACAGACTGCTCTCTTATTGTCTCAGAACAGGGCATCTCGAACTTTCTTTTTTTTAAAGATTTAATTTATTTATTTGACAGAGAGAGACCACAAGCAGGCAGAGAGGCAGGCAGAGAGAGAGGAGGAAGCAGGCTCCCCACTGAGCAGAGAGCCCGATGCGGGGCTCGATCCCAGGACCCTGGGATCATGACCTGAGCTGAAGGCAGAGGCTTAACCCACTGAGCCACCCAGGCACCCCGCATCTCAAACTTTTGAGTGCCTAAGAATTACCTAAGGAATCTGGTAGAAATGCAGGGGCCTGGGCCCCTCACCCGTGATTCTGACTCAAGAGGGCCGAACTGGGCCCAGGAATCTGCATTTTAAAGCAACACCCCACCGCCCCCCAACCCCCGCCCAGCCATGGCCCTGAAGAAAATGATCCTTGGGCTACATTTTGGGAAACATTCCTTTGAGAAGGAATACACACAAAAATACCGCAAACCTTAGTTCTTAAGATAAGCCAGTGCAGGCAGGGAGAACCTAGCTTCGACCCCCATTCTGAAGTTATGTGATCACTGCAGAATAAGGCAATCCCTCCTCCTGTCTGTGGCCCTCCCTCTCTAGCCCAAAGGAGAATCTCAGAAACTTCCCAGCCTAGCGGATGGTCCCTTCTCCAGTACATTCGTTCTCAGGAGTGGGGAGGACTAGTCAGGTAACCAGAATACTGGGTGTGTGTTCTGTGCTCTGTGATGCACTATGTCATTCCAAATCCATATCTCAGAGCCAGAGCCGGCATTATTCTCCCCATCTTACATGGGAAGAAGCAGACTCCGGGGGAGAGTAAGTGACATGGCCGCTGTCACACAACCAGAAACAGCCAGGGATCAGGCCTTGCGCCCAAGCTGTGACTTTCCGTGGGCGCCGAGACGCAGCCTCTGGTGGTGAAAGTTGCACCTGGGTTCAAATTCTGTCTCTTCCACTTGCAAGCTATGTAATTTAACCTGAGTCTTGGCTGTCCCCTGTAAAAGGGGGGTGGAAGGAGGGTCCTGAAGGTGAAATTAAATAACGTGCACAGAGGCAGTGCTCGGCCACTGGAACAAAGCTCATCTGTCGCCCACATGACAACCTTTTCAACCCACTGAGTATCTTTGGAGACAGCGCTCCTGTTTCCAGATTTTTTCTTGTCCTGTCTAAACATCCCCAGGACCTTTAAAGAAGCCGTCACCACCCTGCTCTTTCTCTGACCAGGTTCCCACTTGCCAGTTCCATCCCCTGTTCATTATTGGTAAGTGACAAAGGTGGGACTTGAACCACCGCTTTGACAGCAAGGGCCAAGACCTCTCCAAGTCCCTAGGACCATGGGTGTTACAGAAAACCCTTTAGGGTCAGAGAAACCTGGGTTGGAAATGAGAGTCATCATTTGCCACCCGCATGACCTTAGGCAAGTTGTTTAACCATTCTGAGCCTCAGTTTCCCCATCTGCAATTTGGGGATAATAACTGTACCTACCAAATAGAGTACAAAAAACGCCACGGTGTTTTTTGCTCTAAAACACGATATCCCTTCCCTTTCTTAGAATCATACCGATCATTGCCCCAGTGTGCCCAGAGAGACTGGGAGGATCCCAGGGGATATCCAAGGACCTCCCAATTCCCTGCCTCTCCCATTTCTCAGCCCCAGCCAGGGCAGTGAACCCACCAGCAGGAACTGAACCTAAGCTTTCTCTCTGGCAGGTAGACGTCCAACTGTGTGCACCCAGAGACAGACTGAAATACTGGTATGGCCTCTCTCACTGGGGCTTTGCTGGAACAGGAATGGAGAGACTGATAGAATTGAGATTAGACGGGAGAGATAGTGGCTGGTTACCCCCAGCCTGTTAAGCAGATCATTAGGACAAGATCCTAGAGCCTCGAAATAAAGAGCTAAAGTCAGTACAGCAGCTCTTTTAAAAGTATGCACAATCTAATTTTGAGTTTTTAAACTGTATACAATGAAAAAACATTCACCCCCATCTCATGGTGAGGCTGTTTCCCTGCCATCTAGGGTTGCCAGATAAAATACAGAATGTCCAATCTCGTGTCCACTTCAGGTGAACAACAAAGACGTTTGAAGCATAAGTATATCCCACACAATACTTGGAACATCCTTACACTAAAAAAGTCTTTGTTGCTCATCTGAAATTCACATTTACCTGGGGCTCCTGTATGTTTATTTGCTGAATCTGCCATCAGGTGGATCTAGTACCACTTGGAGAATGGCCAGTTGGTTTCAGTTTCAGAGGCAGCCTGGGATGGGGTCTCCCCACCCCCCGACTCCTCACCCCAGTCCTGGGTTCTCTGGCCCAGCCAGACCCCTGCTACTGACTTACCTACCAGCTCCTCCTTCGGGCTACCTGGTGCCTGCGTCCTCCTCCTAGGGGAGCCTGGAGGTTGCCACCACTGGGGGCGTGGCCCAGTCAGCAGGCTGGGATTACTGTGTCACAAGGAACTTCTCAAGGCCCCCAGTTTCCCGTTAAATCAGGTTTACAGGGAGGCCCAGATTGGGGCAAGTGAAGCACCAGCGGGGAGAGGGGATTGGCCTGGGCCTGGCTGCAGCCACCTCAAAGCCCTCTTTTGTGTGCTTCTGCTCCCGAGTTCCTGCTCAGCCATGTGGAAGCTGGGCAATGGGGGTGGGATCCGGGCCAGCCCCATCCCCTCCTCCTCGATCACTTGCGCTCACTCTCATTTGCCGGGGAGTGGGGGGGGAGGTGAGGGGGTGGGGGGTGGTCTGAGAAAGCACATCCCAGGGTAAGAAGACATGCAAGAGATGGAGGGAAGTTTTAAATGTGACTGTGGATCTGGTGGCAGCGGTGACCGATCCAGGCCTGTCACTCTCCCCCTGGGTGTGGTCCCCTCCGCAGTGAGTGGGGCCCCCTGGTTAAGGCAGAATGGGAAGAGGGCAAGACAGGGGGCGCCGCCTTCCAGGCAGTATGGCCAGTGGTAGGAGCCTGCGTGGGAATGAGGCTGGCCGCTTTTCAGTCCTAACTCCAGACCCTTCTAGCTGTGAGAATTAACTTCAGCACTCTGACTCAGTGTCCTCGAGAAACTGGGATAATTAGGGACAGGCTGGTGGCTTTAATGAGGATGAACGTGCTTGGCTCAGTGCTGGACACTTAGTAAACGTAAAGGCACAATAGATGCTGGCAGTTACTCCAAGTCCAGAATCCATATGCATCTGGGTGGCAGGGACCCACATTCTCCAACCCTCTGCTGTCCCTCAGCAGGTGGCTTCCGGGGGTCTCTGCTTTGGTAGTTCCCTGCTGGGGGTGCGGTGGAGAGGGGCGGCTGATTTCTTTAGTTTTTCTCTGGAATTCCAAGGGCAGGGAGCCCCTTGTTTTTACTAGAGGACAATCCTCCTTGCTTTAAAACTCCTCCTCCGTCTGACCCCCAAGCAGCCTTCTGTAATGTCACCCTCGGTCCTGATTTTGCCTCCTGGGACAGGGTCAGGATCTGTGCATAGGGCATTCTCCAGAGTCCAACCCCAGAAAGGCTTTTTGTTTTTCCCCAGAAATAGTTCTTGGTTTTCAACCGATTCCTACTTGGATAGGTTTGGGATCCCTTCACCCTCCTGTGCCCGCTCCAGACACCCTGGGGCTTATGAGAACGTCATGGAGGGGCAGTCCCTGGGAGCAGCACCTGACCCCACTGGTCTCCCTAGACCCCTTCCTCTAGAGCAGGCGGCAATACCTGGGCTTGGATCTTGGGGTGCAGCTAAGTGACGTTAATCTCCTTTCTTCTGACGGCCCCTTCCCTGGGCTCCTGCTCAGACTGCTGTCTGACTGTTTCCTCTCAAGTCCTCCCTGGAGTTGGAGAACCCCTCACTTCTAGCATTCTGCTCCTGAGAATTCCGCACTGTCCCAATACAGAAGCCACTAGCCACATGTAGCTGTTTAGCACCTGAAGTCAGATAATGGCACCAAAGAACTGAACTGTAACCTTAATGAACTTAAATTTAAATTGAAAAGTTGTTACCAGTTCCAGTTATTGGGAAACTGTGAAGTATGTTTGGAATAACTTAGGTGTATGATTCTACTTTTTCTTTTTTTTAAAGATTTTATTTGTTTATTTGACAGACAGAGATCACAAGTAGGCAGGGAGTCAGGCAGAGAGAGAGGGCGAAGCAGGCTCCCTGCTGAGCAGGGAGCCCGATACGGGGCTCGATCCCAGGACTCTGAGATCATGACCTGAGCCGAAGGCAGAGGCTTAACCCACTGAGCCACCCAGCCCCCCCTACTCTTTCAACAGCAAATTCTGTGATCAAGTATTTAGAGTCTGACCTGAGATGTGCTATAAATATAAGATACCTGCTGGCTTTTGAAGACTGAGTACAAAAGGAGCATACAATTTCTTTTTTTTAATTTAATTAAAAAGACGGAGAGGGAGAGAGAATTTTAAGAGAATCTTAAGCAGACTCCCAGCTGAGCACAGAGCCCAGCAAAGGGCTTGCTCTCGGGACCACCATGAGATCATGACCCGAACTGAAATCAAGAGTCAGATGCTTCAGACTCAGCCACCCAGGGGCTCCAGCCTAAAATTTCTTATTAAGCATTTTTACACGACTTAGTGTTCTGAAATACTAGTGATTATTGGGTTGAAAACATGAGTTAATTTCACTTGTTTCCTTTTCCTTTTTTTGATGTGGTTATTAGAAAATTTGAAATTTTCTCATTTTAATTTTAATGGCTCCCATTGTATTTCTAATGGACGGTGCTGGTCTAAACGTTGCTACTCCTTGGAGTGTGACCTGTAGACCAAGAACATCAGCATTATCTGGGAGCTTGTTAGAAATGCAGAGTCTCTGGCTTTTCCCCAGATAGGCTAACTCAGAATCAGTAGGTTAACAAGGACCCGTCCCCGATCCCCCAGCCCCCTCCCCCTCCCCCCTGCCCCACCGGTGATTCCTATGCACAGAAAAG